CGGCACCCTCGGGTACTCAAGTCATAAAGAGGTTCACAACTTCAGATACTCTATGGATGTATGATCTTTTGACCTAATTAAGAGATATACACGAAGAAGACTTCTTGTCTCATGAGGACTCTCCAAATTTCTCCTATAAAAAGAGCAGGTTCATTCATTTTACACAACACACATACACGAGCTATCTCGTTACTCTGCTGTTTTCTCTCTAAACCGTCACTGACTTGAGCGTCGGAGTGTTTGCGCCGGGACCACCCCCAGCGTGCTTTGCAGGTACCGACGATCGAGGAGACGCAACCCGGTTCGAGAGGAGCGGTCCAGCGGTTCAAGTATTTGTGGTATAACAACGAATAAATTATTTTTTTATTTAGACAAAAAAATTATATCCTTTATATAAAAAAAATATCAGCCAACGCCGGCCGGAGAGGTAGCTACCGGCCGCCGAAGAAGGCGGCCTTCGGAGTGGCTGCCGCATAGCAAAAAAACATTTTTTTAAGTAATAAGGGTAAAGTTATCTTTTGAGGGGTTGTAAGTAGTAATAAGGAGCGGTATTTAGTAATTCAGTAAATTTTTCCTCAAAATATGTTGCCCGGGTGTAAACAAGCCAAGCCGGTCAACTCCATCCTTTATCAAGTTGAACTTATAGTTATTGAGCAGATAAATTAGTTAGTACTTTATTTGTTTATATAGTTGAGTTTGAATTTAATTTGAACATGAATGAGTCAAAATATAATAAATAAATCACATAAAAAATATTTTTTCTAGTCTTAACTAACCTAACTCTATTCGACTCGTTAACTAAACAATCTAGATTGAAAAGTTGCATTGACAATTGTGTGAGTGTTAACCAATCAGCCTTCATACCTGACAGACAATTGTTAGACAATGTCATCATACACTAGGAAGTTGTGCATTTTCTAAATAGACATAGATCAGGGAAGCATTGTTATATGATAGTCAAATTGACATGGAAAAAGCTTCTAATAAGGTAGAGTTGATTTGTATTAAAAAAATCTTGATTACATTGGGCTTCCAATTCACCTCTATTAAATTTATTCTAGCTTGCATTTCTACTCCCTCTTTTTCTTTTTAACTAGAATGAATAAGTGAAATGTTATGTGAAAGCCTCAAGAAGAATTAGGCATGAGGATCCATTTCTCCCTACGTGTTCATTTTAGTTTCTATGATGTTTACTAGAATTTTAAATTCTGAAGTTGAAAGGCGCTATTTTACGAGAATGTATTTCAAAAGTTGGGCTCCAGTTCACTCATTTGTTAATTGTTGATGATGCTTTAATTTTTAGGAGGTCTGGCAGATCCCAAGCTTTGATTCTCCTTAACATGCGGCATAGATATCAAATGTTCGGAGACAGAAAGTCAATCTTGACAAGTCTTCTATGTTTTTTAGAAGAAATACCTCTTTAGATACTCAGTTAGAAACCTGTCAGGTTTTAAATGGAATTCATGTTCAAAGATCTGCTAAATATTTACGTTTGCTTCTCGACATTGAAAAATACAAAAAATAATGCTTTGATATTGTCGTGAATGTTGTAAAGAATAAATTAGTAAG